GGGGGGCTCCGACCCTCCCAGGCCGCGAGCCTCTTAAAGCTGCAACGACAAGCCCAGCGCGGGGCGCGAGTGCGCAGGCGCTGGGCGCATGCGCGGCGGCGCGGCGCTCCCCCGCCCCTCCCTCCCGCGCAGGCGCAGCTGGCGCCTGTGGCCTCAGCAGGTCCAGGCTGGCTCGGTCTTAAAGGGGCCGCACCCCTTTGTGGGCCATGCTGGGCAGGGTGGGGTCTCCAGGGGGGTGGGCTGCAGGGGAAGTTGTGCTGGGCCAAGTGGCATCACCTGCCATGGGCTGCTGAGGCTGGGATGCCGCCACGGCCTGGAGCCCTACAATATGGCATGCAACGTGCTACAGTGTGTCGCGCACATGGCTTCATGCCATGGTGCCACCGCCACATCCTGCCACGCTTTGCACCCCAGACTGTGGGGTGGCCCATATTATGAGCCCCCTACTTGACACCTTAGAAGCCCTGTCTTATGCCTTCGTGCACCGTGGAGGCCTGCCGGAGCATCCCCAGCACCAAGTGTTTGCTGTCACAGCTGGGTACAGGTTGCCGTTGTCTTTGGGAGCGGCCTGCGCAATGATTCAACTTTCACACGGCCACCAGAGCCATTTCCCAAGCTGCCGATGGTGATAGCACAGCGCTGACGTTTCTTTTGGAGACGGTATGTATGGCCTTCTTTAAAAGGATGCTGGCAGGTTAAAAATAACATACTCTTACATCCCGATTATCCTCCTCTGCGTTATTAAGGACGACACAAAATAATGAACTAACGTGGAATGGATGCAGCTTTTCTCTTCTCCCTGAGGCTACTTATTTTTATTTTTAATTTTTGTATTCCAGCAGCCCAGAGGCACCTCCCTTCCATCTGGAGATCAGCACCACGTTGTTCTAGAAACTGAACAAACACAGAATGAGAAACATTGCGGCTCCTGAAGAGCCATTTCATTTTTACTATCTGCTAGGATTGTCCAGAGAAACTGGACTAGTCATTTTTTATCTCACTTATAGTGCCTAATTTCTGTCAATCGTGAATAGTAATATGAATAAGAAATTTCTAGTGGAACATTACAATACCTGGTTTGCAAAGACAGCTGAAGTCTGTTTTCTTGCTTTCAGTGGATGTTTCCATACTTTATAGAAATAGTTCTGTTTGTCAAAAGTTTGTTTCTAAGGCCCAAATCTTGCCAAAATAGGCATACATGTTTAATATTATGCACATGTAAGGTTCTGCTTGGAATTATATCATAATCCCAGTGATTTTAAATTAAATGTAAGTATGCATATGAATTTTTGCAGCATCAGGTTTAAATATTTTTAACAGTTTTCATCACTCTGGTGCATTTCAACTGTTAAAGCTGCCAATCCATTAAAAGGATACACATCAATCAAAAAAAAAATTCAAATCTGCATGTTCTTGGGGATACAAGCTGTCGCCTTTTTATCTGGAAAAATGCCAAACATTGTTGAGAGGCAAGGATTTTTTGGCAATATATTTTATTGGACCAACTGTATAGCTGGGAGAGATGTTAGACAAAATTTAGCATCCACAAATAATGAATACGAACCACATCATTCACGTTCTCCAACATGTAAATAATCTAAGTATTAATTAAAAGTCTGACTTAACAGAAGTCTTAATTCCCTTTCCTAATTTGACATGCACAGTTAACATATATTGTTAGATAGGACTATCTGTTATGCCAAAGATGTCTGTTTTTCAGTGGTGAGTGAAATGAACTCTGCATAAATTGTATCCTTCACTTCCTGTCCTAAAATATTCTATATTGGCACTATGTTTCCAGAGGTGGATGAATTCCAATGACATTGAAGTGATTCCTGTCTCTGGTAGTAATTGTTAATGAATTATTAATAACATTTATATAATACTCTTCATTTTCACAATTCATTTTCAAAATTGGAGGTGTGGGGTAGCTCTCTACCAGGATGTAAATTGAGTGGATCTTAAATCACCCCACAATGTGTGGCACCCTGTGTCACTTTTACAAGGATCTCACAGCAGCTTGGTTGAGAATCACTGCTGTTGGCATGTACTTTGGCTTAAGAGTGGCTTATTTTTATGGAATTTAAACCTATTTTTAAAAGACCTGCACAAAACTGAGATGAGAGCACCCTTAGCCTTTAGTCAAATTAGCTTAAAATCACAATTTAAACCATGAGCAACACCATGTAATATGCCCATTTACACTGGAGCTGAGCAAAAGTCGCATTTCCATCAACACATCCCAATATTCTTTTATTCTTTCTTTGATGAAGCTTTGTCACTCCTCTGTTAGCACCGTCACCTTTTACCATGCTCAGGAACCATTCTGCCAATCCCACTGGAGTGCAGGATTGTCTACCTACCAAATACAAGCATGCCAAGAAAACGTTCACCTCCTGCTTCTCTGCTCTTGAGACCTCATCCAAAGCCCAGTGAAGTCAAAGAGGACCCCTGCAATAAGGCCCTATAGACTGAGAAACTTCTTCAACCTACCCCCATTGCAGACCATTGGACGGGTTTTTGGGAGTCTTTATTGATTTAAGCTGATATTGGATCAAGCCTAGGTGACTGGAGGATTCAGAGAAGAGACAACATTTAATGACAGCATTTAATCTGGCTGGGGTTATGTAACCCCAGTGCTCTTTCTGCCTGGAGCAGGGGATTGGACCCAATGATCTAACAGGTCCCTTCCAACTCTAGAAATCTATGAATCTATGAAATCTTTGAAGGAAAGCTTTTATTACACTGACCCCACCCTGCATTTGGTGTATCTGTTCCCAAGGTAGAGTAAAAATGGACTGAATTATTATTGCCAAAGGGAACAATCCCCAAACCACTGCTAGAAAGTGCTTAAAGAAAGCCCCTCCCAATGCCAATGAGGTGAAGAGTGACAACTGATAGTCACATAGGTCCACTCAGGTTATAGTGAAATTTCACCTACTGTGACTTTTCTCCATGAAATTAAACATTTCACTTCAACATTTGGATAATGGACACTATAGAAATAAATATAAGTAGACCTACTGTATATTGTTTATGATTTTTAATTTACTGAAAACACACAGATATATAGTCTGGTATACACCTGTGTAAAGCCATTTGCCTTGAAAAATGCAGATGTTTTCAACAAAGTAGTTGTGAAACTCCAATCATGTACAGACTGCAGGTCAATGAACTGAATGCAAATCTTTCCTCATATCCATAGCACATCAAGCTGAATATAGATCATTCACATAAACCTGTCAGCCTTGCTTATTAAGTTTTTATATATCATTTCCTGTATTTGAACTCAGTATTCAAAAGATATTGTTGTATGCACTCTACTGAATAGAAATAGGTAACAATAATTAATACTAACGTAACAGTCTGTAAGCAGCCTTGTTGGGGCCATGCTTTATATAAAAACATGGCTAGCATGGTACTGTGTCCACATACGGGGTTCAATAATGTATTTCAATAGGGAAGTATATCAAGAGCTCTAATAAAAATGAGAATATTGGAGTTTGCAAGCCAGAGAATAAACCTAATTATGTAGGTTTATTTTCACCTGCAGAAAAAACATTTATTAATATAATAGCAAGAAACCAAAACAGCTTTAACTAGGGATAAAAAATTTATGATGGAAAGAATCCCCAATCTTTCTGCCCAGTACACATACATTCATGTAACACAGGGGTGTTTCTTTGGATGGTTAAGAGGCTCAAGAAGTTAAACTAGGCAAAAAGGACACAGAAAAAAAGCTCCCTTAATGACCTCTTGTTGAAGTGATCTGCAAATCATATTTGCATTCAGTCCCTTAAGGAATGGACACACCTACACAGAGTGGTTCAAATGCAGTTTAAACCTGAAGCAGAGAGACATACAAGCCTGTTAAATGGATTCAAAGCTCCCTGGAACAGTTCAAAAGTGTACCTGGAAATCAAATACTATAACCAGTTCAGTATTATGCGTAGACACCTTGTGTTGCATGACATGGGTCTGGTTGGTTTTTCAAACATCCCACATTGCATTGCTCCTCACCCCCCTTGCAACTGGCTGCTCTGGTATGCAGGTAGACCTCTACTATCCTCTTTTTTTTCCTTTTTATCAATGAGCTCTCTTGCACTGCTGATTCAATAAAGGCTCTCTTCCTAGCAACAACCTCTGTCCTCACTCCTTGTTCAGTTGCAGTCCCTCCAGCCCCCAGAATCCACAAAGCACAGATCGAAGAACTCCCTATCCTGGCCAGCCCAAGTCAGGCCAGTATGTTGCAGACTTCAACCAATAGCAGGTTACTGGAGTTTATTGAACTCATGTTTAGGACAGAAGGGCAAGCAGAAAAGTGAGAATGCCCTTAGGCACAAGTCACTCCAAGACCCCTAGCATGAGTTGCAAGCACTCTCTCCCAACTTGCCTACTTTTGTGCTTGCTAGGCTGGGTGGTCGGTCCCACAACTGTGAGCTTGTTTCCAATCAGCAATATTTTGGAACAGCTCCATGAACGCCTCATAGTTAGCTTCCCACTGGCCAGCTTCCAGTGGGAGGATCTCGTCTCTACATTGACTTTATGGAAATGGGAGACTCCTCCCTAGCTTGCTCCTACAGCCGAGGGCAAGCGAAACTGGGGGGAATCCAAACCCCAAGCCTCCGGGCTTGGGCCTGCAGGTAGGATGCCCGCCAAAGGATTTGGAAGTATCTGAAGCCCCAGGCTGGGGTGGAAGATACTTGCTGGTAGCAGGGCCACATATGGTTCTTAGATGATTCAAACAAATTTGGACCTGATCTGGCTAATTTGATGCTATACATAAAAAATTTTCCTTAAAAGAAATAAAAAAATTTTGGAATGGTTTAGTTGTTATATGTGTCCGCACCCTGTCCCACAACAATTGTGAACCAGTCAGTGACATTTGGAAATGTTTCAGTTGTTTGTGTCTACAGCTATTAGATTCAATGGGATTCAGCTTTGTTTTACTTATTTTTCTCAACCCACTTTTTGCTTAGCCCATTTCTCCCATTTGATTTTTAACTACAAATGTAGTGGATTTGATTTTCTCTGTGGTGGAAATGCCTGACTCAGAGAAGTTCAAGCCCTGGTTTCTGCCCATGGAATTACTGAAATTCCTGTGCAAGCACTCTTGTCACTGAGCATTTGATTGACTGGTGCCTTTGGGGGTGGCTGGGTAGTGCAGTATGAAAGCATAATTTTGGAACAGAAATCATCCCTAAGGCTTTGCTGTAGCTTGGCTTGCCACATTGAACATATACTCTTACCTCACAAAAATGCTTCCTGGTTTCAACTACTTGATGGCTCTGCAACTATTCTTATTCTTAGTTTGGGAGCAGCTTTCTTTTCAAAGGGACTCTTTTGTATCTGCAGAGTCATGCTATTTCAACCATCACTGAAAAACCATATTAACCAAAGTGATCTTTGTAGACCACACTACTTGTACTTGACTTCCCTTCCTTTTTGTGAGATTCAGTTCACCCTGCTCACATATTTTCCATTTTGGAAGAGAAGTGGTGGAAAGCATTTGCCATTACTCTGACAATCCACACAGACAGGGAGCATCCTGGCCGGATTTTTGTTTTGTTTTGTGAACTTCCTTGTAGGAGAGCTGAGCCCAGCAATCTCTTTCCTTCTCAAGTCTGCCATTCCTGCAAGGCCTTCTCTGCATTCACAAGGTTACATGTCTCTTTAACTTTCCTTTCTTTTCTTTTTTTAAGGAAAAATTTTTGTGTTCCAAGCCAAATCAATTCCAAATCTGTGAGTCATTCAAATCTGTGAGTCATCCATATGTGGCCCTACTACGGGCAAACATCCTCCACCCCCATCTGGGGCTTCAGATGCTTCCAAATCCTTTGGTGGGCATCCTACATGCAGGCCCAACTCTGGAGACATGGGGTTTGGATGCCCCTGAGTTTTGCTTGCCCACAGCCGCATGGCAGCAAGCTAGGGAGGAGTCTCCCTTTCCCATAAGATGGACGTGTAGCCAAGATCTTCCTACTGGAAGAGAAAGTGGGAGACTATACCTTGCCTCGGTTAAGGTACTACCCCTACCAAGAAAGTGGTTTTCCCCTGCAAGTAGGAAAACCACCTTAGTGGTCAAGGTGTTTCCCCTGTCTCTTAACTTCTTCCAGTACCAACCAACAACCAGTTTACATGATCTATTGGTGCTACAATGTCCAGTTTTTCCGGTAGCCATCTATCACTCCACTTAGGATAGGAAGTTTTAGGGGACAAAAGTTGGGGGTTTGCATGGCTCTGCTCTCTCTCCCTTCACATAGCACTCTGGGTTGTGAATTTGGACTCCTTGTCTCCCACTCTCCTCCAGCATAGAAGCCATGGAAAAGGGAAAATCTGTAACTACAGAGGCAAATGAACTTGCAGCAGAGGTTTGAAGGAATAGGTAAGAGCTAAGGCTAAAGAGGAGAGAGCAATGGTAAGCCTACACTTGGAGCACCTGACTGGTGCAGTAATGCCAGCATACTGTACTGGCAAAGTTATGCCATGTGAGCATCCCCACAGGGAGAAAAGATGTCTCAGTAAAAGTGCAGTTGGGCCAGTGGGGGTGTGTATTTCCCATGGGACAAATAGCAGTGGCACATATCTGTGCTGTTGCTATTTGTCCCCAGGCACACCCCTGCAGTGCACATGTGTGGCAAAGTGACCCAGGTGGGGTAGGAAACGCTGGGCAGCTTTGCCTGGGGTGCTGGGAGTCTCCTGGGACAGCATTGGTGCTGAGCCAGCCACTTGGAACTTGGTCAGCGCCAGAGTGTGGCTCTGGCCAGCCAGGTTCCCTGCCTGGTGGCACTGCTTTTTTAAGTGGCTTTTTCTTTTTACACTGGGATCTCCTGGTGTCAAAAAAAAACCATTGCACTGCAAAGTAGCAGCAT